GCCATCTTCTATTCACTATCTCAGACCCTCAGGCAACCCGTTCTCCCCTTGGCTCCCCCTGGTGCCTTGCTTGGGATCCTACTGTCTAGCAAACGAGGAGGCCCATGACCATCAAAAAGCTGTATGGGATCGCTGTTTACTGAACGGCGATACATGCTGTGTCTGCGGCTGTTGCTCGGCTTGAACATGCTGCAATCATCGAAGGTATTTGAGACCAACCCCTTCCCTGAATATGTCCAAACTTCAATGAGAACGCCATTTGGCGGCATAACAGGCTGACACTCGAAGTTCTGAGCTACGTTGCTGGGTGCAGGAACGGGACACCAACCACCCCGACAAATCTGCATACAACTTTCTAACGAACCTCTTACGTTCAAGATGCCCATATAGACACCAACTGATTGCGTGGTACGGCCAGAAGCTTTTGAGGACTCCCGGGCCTGAGGCAACCCGCCAAATTTCGCAACTCTACCTGAACTCTAGGTCCTGATCGTGGAGTCACGAGAGATGAATCGAAAGACGGGGTATGTGGCTCATGTTCTTCGTGATGTCAAGAGTCTCGAATAACTGTATCCTGGCATGCCAGCTCCTTTCATGTCTCGTACTCGCACCGCGTCATGATGCCGAGAAACTCCGAAACCCAAGTCAAAGCTACTCTCACCCTGTGCCTACAGAATACGATAGCGAGAAGAAATGTGGCGCATTATGGAAATTCGCCGCCTTATTTCGGCCGTTTCGGAGGCCCATCAGCGGCATGAATCTTCCTGGTAGGGCAAGGACGTTTTAACGGCCTTAGATCCTTCGTACACAGGTGGTGCATGGCCCTCGCCTGGTCCGCCGCTTTCCCCGATTCCTTTAGACTTTGCACAGCTGAATAGGTTACGCAATCGAGCTTCCAAATCTCCCTTCGGCGACGACATTCTCGCTGCGGTCGAGAAGTGGAAGATGAGCCACCCCATAGCCCTCCGCGAGGGGGCGATTACTACCGCACTGAGCCGTATGTATCACCCTGCTTTTCCTTTCCGGTGGTTGCTAACAGTTCCAGTTGCTCCAAATGGAAAGCTGACGAATACGGATCGTAGCTTGCTGCGAATCATGAATGTTGTGCGTGATGCGGACTGGTCTACAAACTCCAAGGGGGAGCCCGAAGAGAAGCCATTCGTCACGCAGGGGCAGAGTTCGGCATGGCTTTGCTACCTTCAATGCGGACTCTCTCTTCCACATATATAGCATCAAGGCATGCCTTCTTCTTCGATATTCTCTCTGAACATACTGTTCCCGATATCATCATCAGGCACACAACCATAATAATGGCCTCTGAGATCATTTCAGGCGCCATCGGAGCGGAGCTGAAAGAACCCCGTCTTCACGAGCTTATCAACAGACTCAGATGATTCAAAGAAATTACAACACGGCGATGAGCACACTACAGCTGTACATAATGTCCAACTGGGACGACGCCCATCGCGCATGGACTGAGAATGTGAGGCAACCGAGGAAGTGACGTCTTGACTATCAGTAGTCTTGTGTAAGTTTGGCTTGTTTTCTGAATAAGTTGAATGGACGCTGATAATATTCTTAGCTGCGATGTTGGGTGATGTGGCGAAGAGTGATCAGATCCGTGAGCAGCCTCGGAAATCAAATCTGATGTTGGTGCCAACCGTGAATATGCCGAGTCTGTGCTGATCTTCATTAAGTGTCGCCGCCATTTGCGCCTGCAACACCCAGGAGCAGGTCTGTCTTGGTCAAGACTTTTGCAGCCTCATTAGATGGGGAGTCAACTGATGAGTAAGTAGTCGCATACTACGTTATGCATCTTGTATGGCCAGCGGTTATCAGAGACTGACAATGTGATGACCAGATTACAACGCTTCCAAACCTCGTTTACTGTCGACCGGCTCGATCAAAAGACCTGGGCGGTCTATCAGAGGTTCTATAAGCTCAAAGGGCCAGGTCTTCTGGGCTCAGGGATACGGCACCATAATCATGGACCTTACATTGCCGGATAGCAATGAGCGTATCGGCTCCCTGGTCTTCCCTTGATTCGCAAGCTCGCAGAGTTAGGCATTTAGTCTGTCTTCAAGCAAGACGGCAGCGTGGAGCTGCTCCATAATGGTCTCACCAAAGCTTTCGCCACAACTGTCCAGAACCACTACTTCCTATGTACAACCGGCCGCGAATCAATCAAGACGTACGCAGACTGAGATTATTTTCCCCATGCCTGCTGGTGACCCGCCTCAACCACTTGACATTCGACGTTGCGACCTGTACCCTGTCCAGTCTCCTCGGAAAAATCTCGTTAGGCGACTTCAGAGAACGGCCTGATCATACAATCGAGCTACCTGGCCTGCGTCGTTCACTAAAGCCTCACCAGGCCTTCGCTAACAATCGTCACAAAATTAAAGCCAAACCACAGCTACACTGCCACACACTCAATGTTCGAACTATATACTGGACACTGACTACTGGGAAAGACCTGAATGGAGGATATCTGACAGACGACATTGGCTTAGGCAATGTAAGCGGACCTGCCACCTGACATATCACCTTCGATTTTATGAAACCGACCTACTGGAGCCTAGAACGGAGAGACAGCGCGGGACCAGGGGGAAAAATTAGTTCACTGTCAAAGCATATGTAATGTATTTCGTTTCTTTCTTGCAATAGATGCAGGGCTAAGTCTGAGCAGAACACAACAAACTTCCACCATCAAAAGGCGATGACACCGTCTTCAATCTGAGGAGGACCCGCTTCCATGGACGCAAGATCAAGAGACACAACCGGTCATCTGATTCCGATGTCCACGAGGAGTGTATCGAAATACAATACCACTGGACTAAAAGGGTGTCTGGACACAGATTATTCCCCTAGTCTCCAAGCGCGTGCGTGCTTATTAAGGCACCTGAGCATGGGACTCAAGCAAGCCACACGCGAGATTGCAGCCTTGCGTGGCATGGGACAATCCATCGCGCGACACGCCAACTACTCTTCTTCAACGACTTCTCTATGGAAGAGCGTACGTAACAGACATAGTGCAATGAAGTCGCTAATAGATTTCCTGGATGAAGCCGCGGGAAAAGACCGCACAAGATAGTTACGTCCGAATCATCTTTTATCGCAGTCATTTATGACTATTTTGCTCAAACGCCGTCGAAGTCCAAAAAAGACTGCCAAATGCAACGTTGCAAACCAGGCAGCAAATTCATCGTCTTTCGATCTTCAGACTCCTCCGCCACCCGCCGCGCGTTACCCTTTGATCCAGTCCGACAGAACGCCGTCCTACCCGATATACATTCTTTTGATAGTCCCGGCCGTTCCCTCAAACGCTCCCTCGAACTTCCTCCTGCCCTTGAACGTCCCTCTACTCTCGAACAACCATCTTTGGAACGTCATTCCCCGGGACGTTCCGCTTTTCAACGTCCTTCTGATTCCGTTCGCTTTGCAGACGTCCTTAAAAGAAAGAGGTCCAGTGGAGACGACAAGAGCAAGGAGGACTTGGTTTCTACAGCTCTGACACTGGTTTCAGACAGTGAACAAGATGAGAAGGTGCATCAAGACATGACGCTAGCTGACGGTCTTGAGCCGCAGCCGATCCCTGTCCAGGATCTGTTCGACAGTCCTAGTGCCATATGTGGCCATACCTGGAAATCATTAATAATCTTCTATCAGCTATTATTGCTCGGCCAGCGACTTCTATTTCCTTCTCGACACCCGCAGAATGTCTGAACCAACCTTAATTCGACCAGCTGCTCAACGTCAGCCTTTTGCTGGAAGAACCCCAAAGACATCCTACGATCCGTGAATTACTAGGGAACCGCATACAAACTGAGCAAGGCAGGAAGCAAGTGCATCTCAATGACGAAAACAGGCCCAGGGATCCAGTAGAACCGCCAGTGAGATTGGCCCCGAGCCAGTGAAGGCCCGCGACGGTGTCGTCGGCGTTGATAGATTATCTACAGCCCCGACAGCTACGGAAGCAATACGGGCACCTGACGACCGAGCCGAACGTTTGATGAGACTACAAGAAGACATACAGCGGTTATCTGTCTCCCACTTGACGTGCCGCAGCACTCATCATCATGCCTCCGCGCCGATACACAAAGGAATTGATGAGACCGCATGGCCAGCTTCGCTCCAGAAACTTGGAGTTACCGCCATCAAGATCGACGAGGATACAATGACATACCCCTGGGGTAAACCAGCGATCACTTTACAGCGCACGCTTGCAAAGACAACCAGGTATGACAACAACGCCATGTTCAGTGACCAGGCCAGGAGGGCCCTACGATGGGTTGAAAACACGTATTTCAATCTCTCAGAGGCTGAGCGAGGCACAATGTCAGATCAGGATCTTGCTGAGTGGAAGCTTACCGGCAAGGCAAGAAAGCATGTGATGCAACTAGTACAGACGGCCCGATGTTATTCCGGAAGCTATCTGCCTGGCTTAGATAGACGTGCGAGCATCTCTTTCGTATCTAGACAGTTACGAATTCCAGCAGCTTCATAGTCCATTTCCTTCGTAAGGTTATGAGCCCGAGAGCAGCAAGACGAGAGAATTTCCTATATTAGGGAAAATTCTGCCCTGGATTAGGAATGTCGAATACTATTCTAGATGATGATTCAATATTTATACTAGACCATGATTCAATATCAATGCTAGATCATGATTTGATATCGATACTAGATGATGATTTGATATTAAAATACTATGGATTCGATGGGCAATCCTAGATAATGATTTGATATAAACTATAGATAGTATTTGATCCATGTAGTGCGTGTAACTTTAAAGGGGCCCGGGAGTGGTGGCATGTAATCATTGTAAAAATACCAAGTGTACATTGTAGCTATAGTCCACTGTAAGCTGGTGTGATGGTACAATTAATCCATGTTGCATTAAGCATGGGCGGTTCTGCTAAACCTTGTTGTAGATGTTTATATTAAAGTGGCTGCTCCTATAAATGTAGCCACACGTCCTGCCATGCTAAGACTGATTAAGGATGTGATAAAGCGTACTGCTCACAGACTGATTTGATTAGATATATAATAATATGTGGATTGCTGCAGCACTACCAGGGTGAGAGCTCCTGAGAATACCTATACTGACCAGTCCTGCTGTCCAAGCAACCAGGGAACCAGCATACCTCGCCCAGATGGGTAGAGAAAGCCCGTTTCGGGTGACGAGGTATGTCTGATTCAGGCGACTGGAGGAGACTCTTGGTGGGAGGGTCCAAAACCATGTCCCATTTGAAGGCGCAGGAATGGACAGCGAGACGGGAAGTGGGATGGGACAAGCTGTACATAGGCAGCCCAGACAGTAACATTCTAAGCTTTTGGATCGTCATCGGGTTCACGGTTAATCTCTTGGCAAACAGAAGTTGTTGCCAGCAATGGTGTATGATATGCCATCGTTGCCATTGTACTAGCTAAGTCTTTTCTCAAATACTGGAATAAGCTTCTTGGTCCTTCTGTGCATCTGGTGCGTCTGGGTAGTAAACTTTTACAACATTGACAGCCAATGAAAGAACGTTGTGGCTATCTATAAGAGAACCCAACTTTGAGAAATGGCCCACCAGGAGCAAAGCCAATAGCTGGTACAGATAAGTTCGACCGCTGATCCGGGACAGGGTCGAGTCAAGATTGGCCGAGAATTCAGTGAAGGGGCTCAATACATAAGAGGGTTTGTCCCAGTCTATCACTATCTTATCAGCTCCCTCCCTTATCATAACCACTATCTGAGTCCGCGGAGAAACACCAACAACAGAGTTACTCTTATCTCTTCTTAGCAGATAAGAGGAGCGAGACCATTGGTGCCGTGGGCATAAACAGTGCTCCGTAGATGATCTTATCATCCCAAGGGGGAAATGATGTGGTATCCGGTCAGCGAAGGGCTGGCTTTATTTCCCACAATTCTCCCAGAAATCTCAAGTTGCGGATGGAGAGGATCAAGGCTGATCGGTAGGTGCGTGAGTGGAGGAACTTTATTTTGTTCGCTTAGGCCTACTGTCAGCTCTGTATGTACAGATTAGGAGACCAGATTATTCACTTCCGGGCCCGATATCCCGGTGCAGATCTGAGATAAGGAAACAGTGGCGTAAGCCATGGCGTCTGGTTGATTCCGGGACCGTGTACCCAATACAAGGTATATCAGTCAACCCTCTCCTCATTTCCTTCGTCCTCAAACAAATTTGCATACCCTAAGCCCAAGGCCACTTACCATCATGACGACTGTCAGCATTGACTCCCATGCTCCGGCGGATGTCGCCCAGTTTGTGGCCAATGCCGGAGTAAGTAAGGGCAACATGCGCCTTGATAAGGTCTTCTTCAGCGCCTTTTCTGCTGGTTGTCTGCTTGCCTTTGCCTGTGGAACGGCTCTGAGTACCAATACAACGGCATGGTTTCAAGAAAATGCGCCCGGCTTGATTCGCACAATATCCGCCCTCGTCTTCCCTTATGGTTTGTGTATGATCATCTTAACGGGAGCTGACCTCTGCACTGGATCTTTCATGGTATGCTTTCCCAGACTGCTACTCTGTGTGAATATACTTAACCTGTTGTAGTTCACCACTATTGCTGCACTCCAACGCAAACTGCCCTGGTACAAGATGCTGCTCCACTGGTTCGTGACCTTCTGGGGCAACCTGGCTGGATCTCTCTTTGTTGTCGCCATCATCTTTGGCTGTAAGCATCTGCAATCCCCTTGACTTTTTATCCAGGTCCTGACATCCTGCTCAAGATGGCAACGTCTTTGCTGCCGACCCCTACAAATCTGAGGTCATCGCCTTTGCCACGAAGAAACAACTCACCCCGGACTTCCATCATATTTTCCTCCGCGGTATAGGCTGCAACTGGCTTGTCTGTCTGGCTTGCTTCCTTGGTGTGCAGGGCCGCGATGTCGCCTCCAAGGTTGTAGGTATCTGGTTCCCGACCTTTGCCTTCGTATCGCTAGGCTTTGACCACGTCGTCGCCAATATGACCTTCATCCCGATGGCGATCTGGCTGGGTGCGCCCAAGATCACAGTAGGGCTGTACATCTGGAAGGGGATCATTCCAACCCTGCTGGGGAATATCATTGGAGGTGGATTGTTTGTCGGTAGGTGCACCTCTTGCGAGTCGAGGGACAGTGGCTAACCGAACCAGGTACATACTACTGGTACATGTACCTCTTGAGCGGAGAGATGGTCACTCTCACTGGGATGTACAAGTCAGGCACGACAACGCCTCGTTCGGGGGATGTCGAGGCCATGGCTGCTGATAAGCAGAACTAATTGAATGTCTTCTTAACTGGTTGATTTTAGCGTTATGATTCCCTATACAGTTGTTAATCAAATCATTGATAAAAGCTATCAGGCAATCTGTGGTGTAGTTTCAGCGTGTTGAACCCCCAGTCAGAAAACAGTTGTAATCAGGACAAGGTGTCAAAGTATAAAATTGCCAGAGCTCGACTGTGACCGTAGATGAAAACTATCCTATTATCGGCTCATTGTCGGTGGGTGAATATGCATCGACGCCGGAACTGATCTCCGTGGGTTGATTCCGAGCCCTGCTGTTTGTTGACGGGCTGAAATGTGCCAGAGCATTGCAAGCATTCTTAGGAGCCGACGGACTGTTGACACCACCGAACTAGGTATAAAGAACTTGAGGAAAGTGGACACTTTCCCAAGTGGAGCATGTCTTATTGATTCCGAGGTTTCCAATTGAAGCAGCAGAGATTTGTCCTCCCGGTGTCAAGACGGCATCGACAACCACTTTCCCAAACGAGTCACCTGCAAAGTGATCAGTATCGATGTACTATGTATCTCCTCGGCGGTCACCAGTCTCGAACCACTCACTGGGAAGCCTATGTGACTATGATTATAACTATCATTTCATTCCACAAGCGATTCTTGATTTGAACAAAGCGACGCTGGTCGAGTATGACTGGGGACACGCGGGGAAAGGATACAGCATTGCAGGAGACCAGTCCACTTTTCGCGGCAATGGAACACCCTCTAATTCCTTTAACTTTCAACAGCCGGATAACTATACCTGGCATCATGGCTGTGCGGACGAGTTAAAGTTCCAGTGGTACATATTTTCCTTCTGTTGCTCGAAGCCCGAGGCCAGTCCACCGATGATCACGTTAGGAACTCCACAACGCCATTCACATACACCGTCAATTTCACCAATACCACCGCCGAGGCCTTGTTCTCACTGACTGGGGCCCCCTTGGTACAGTGACATTCTTGTTTTCTGGCTCCCGCGTGGATGACAACAGACTTGGCTGGAAGCCAAGCGACCAACGGCAACTATACCCCCCATCGCTTTGAATACCTCTGACCCATCGAAGCCGAGGTTCCAGTTCACGAACGGCTCGCAGTTTGTGTGGGTGAACTACACTAATGGATGGTCTGCTATCGCGTCTGCGGCAGCCCTCTCCATTGACGAGAGCCTTGTCCTATGGTGGAAGTGGCTGTGGCTTTTGTTGATGGTGGTGGCTGGGGATCTTTCACTTGAGGGAATGTAAATAATTCTTTGAAAGATATAATGCATGTCAGTCAAATCACTAGTCCAATGATATGTAAAGTCGTACTCGGTACTCCCTAATCTAATCACCTAGGAGCCGATGCTGCTTGCTGTTTGTATGCCTGAAACAAATCCCCCGAATACATCCACCCCTCCCCTCCTTAACATCAGCCGTCTGGATCCTCTCAAACTCCCTCTTCCACAACCCCCGCCATCCCCGCGGCAAATCCGAGCTATGCTCACCTATACAGAAGAGGACATACACCGCTATATTGTTCTTCGCAATCTCCTCCTCTGCATTAGTGAACGCAGCGCGGAGACTATCCCGTGCCTTGAAGGGGAGGACGATGCTTTCGCCGCTGGATAGTGTGCTTCGCATGGATACTGTGGCTAGGTAGCCATTAGCAGTTTGTGTCTTGGTCATTGTTAGCGAGTTGATTTGGTTTTGATTGGATTTGCTAGGGAGAGTGCAGGGGTTACCATCGAGTACTCCGGTTCATCCCATCCTTTGCGATGACAGATGTCGGAGAGGATGTGGATTGGCATCCCTGTTGATGGGGGAGCGTGGCATTCGCAGCCGCAGCTGCATCCGTCGGAACCATCCTCAGGCGGGACGGGCGGGGTCTGGGATTCTTTTGTTTGGACTTTCTTTGCGGCATGGCAAACGGGGTGTATATAGGATGAGATTGATTTGGTTATATGTTGCAGTTGTTTATGTAACGATGACTTGTTCTCATGTGAGTCACGTCTGGGCTGAGGAAGCTTGGCGATAGTGGCACACCACCATAGCATGCTCGTATTACCAACGTGGATTTAAGGTTTCCTTGGCTTTAAAAAGCATGATCCAGATACTAATTGGAGATAAGAGATGGCATGACTGAGGGCAGCTTTTATTGTACAAGTGGAAGATTCTTCATCATGGTATATAGATGAACTGGTCATGCACGTCGCCAACATACGTCTGGCGAGCTTATCCAATATGGATCCTTTATATACAGATTATGGTTAGGGTATCCTGACTCTGCGGTTAATCCGAGAGAGCTTCTTCGTCGTAACCACCAGAGAATGAAGAGCATGAATCGACCCTGTCTACCACATTCTATCCATATTCATTTGATTCAACATATCAAACAACCCGTAATCAACCGGTAGGGAGTCCAAAGCAGGAGGCAACCCCAGAGTCGACGGCAGACCTTCCGCGTACTGAGGTAGAAAGTCCGTGGTTCCCCGTCCACAAAATCAAACCCTGCAGACGGAGCTAGTAGATCATCTCCAGACTGCGACTGCGGCGGGCACTGTGTATCACTCCCCGGGAGTGTCAGGTTATACCTCGCACTCAGCAACCGCCGCAGATTATTCCCAATATGTCGTGCGGGCTGCCACGAGCGCGCCAGTTCCTCGAGAACACCGACACATACCTCCAGCCGGGTCTTCTGCGAGGGAGCTACGTCGCCATCGATGTCCTCGAGTAACACCGTTGCCGCCGAGAGCGTGCAATGCGTCGCGGTTATAGGGCTGAGATGGAAACTCCCAAAGTGCTGGCGGTATTTCTGGGCTATGGTGCAGATGGCGCGGGCGGAGTCGGTGGAGACGGATTGCGCTTGTGTTTGTGTCTGTCCTCCTGACTTGGTGTCTGCGTCGCTGGAGACAGACTGGTGCCTTACTGTGAACGGTTTGGCTAGGAGAATCCTAGCAGTGTGGTAGACCATGTGCAAGGTGTATGCGTGCGGGAGATGATTTGGCTGGTCGGTCCGGAGAGCTGGAGGGAGATCGTAGAACCAGGTTTTTAGGTCCAGAAGACAGGATTTGAGGAATGCGGGTCGTTGGTGTTGGTTGAGGGCGGGTTTAGGGGCCCACCTGCTGTTGTCAGTCTTGTTGCTATGTTGTGGTGGGAGGACGTACAAGGACATGAAGATCCTCTCGTAGATTTGGCAGATACGGATTAAGGCTATCTGGAGAGAGAGAATGGCCTGCTGTCGGGGAGATGATGTCTCTGCATGACTGGGAAGGTTGACGGCGCCTTGGACGTCCTAGGTCTAAGTATTAGTGGTGCCGTGGTATTTCAGACAGAACGAAGGACGAAGGACGAACCAGCATGGAGCAGACGCGCCCTGTATAGCTCGCAGCAAGCTTGTCGTGGCAGTATAGAGTCCAGTAGATCTGTCGTCGGAGCTGGATTTCCTTAGGCGACATACTCACGGCTCCTTCGAATGCAGCCGGGTCCAGGTTGAGTCCCATGTCAAGACTCAGCCTGTTCGCCATGCCGTGGTGTAGCCAGCCGGCTGCATCGGCGCCGGTTGCCTACAGAATAACTTGAGCAAGACTTCATCTAGTAAGGCTTGCTAGCAACTCACAATATAAAACATCCCAATAAGGCCTAATGCCTGGATAGTCGTCAGGCTCGGCCGTTCCATTTCACGGTGCAGTAGAGTCTTGGCCTGTTCGAAGAAGAAGCGGCCGGCCGTGTTGGGATCGTTTGCGTCGGTACGGGTTTCAACGCGGTCAGAGAACCGTGACCCCATGGCGAGAATGCTGTACAGAAGCAGGGGAGTGAAATAGCGATCTCTGTGTGCCATGCTGCCGCGGAAGAGATCCTCATCCACGATCTGGTACCATGGTTGCTCCCAGGTAAAGTACAGATCGATCAAGTGGCTTTCAAGCTCTGTAGGAATGAAAGCGTCGTATGCCCTTGATCCAAAGGGCTCAGGTTCAACGCGTGCGTTCGATTCTTTCTCTGGCGAGGCACCGTGAGCAGCGAACTGGAGACGGCCACTCGTCGGCCCAAAGAACCGCATCTCGCCATCGTCGTCGAAATTAAGAGATTCGTCTAGCGCAAGACGTCCCTTGAATTGATCGCATAGAGCCTCCATATATGATGAAACTTCTGCAGCATCCTCTCCAAGGGACCTCTCCGCGTCTGGGTCAAGTCCGTGTTTGGCCAGCAAGTCCTCGAGGAATTGAATACGCTGACGAAGCAAATCAACGTAGGACTTGGATGCAGGACGTCTGCCATCCTCATTGGAGGAGTATTGACAGGAGATACTCCATTGCAGACAACGGGAGCATGATGGTTTTTTCCCGTCGCACTTGCACAGTTGCACGTCAGAACGTCAGAACGTCAGAACGTCAGATAAGGAGAAACTAATGCATGGCATACCTTTGCTCGCCGACGACGACACTCCTCGCATGCTTTGGTAGTATATTTCCCTCGGGATTGTTTCTTCTCAGCCGGTGGCATTTTCACCAACCATACCTATCAATTGATAAGATTACTTTTGTCCGTGGATGCCAAATTCTCAATGTCGTGACGACCAAATAAACTCCGCATTATTAATCAAAAATGTCCCATCCAGTATCACCATTCACCCTTCACCACTTATTCCTACTTAACCAATACACAACGTCATTCTCTCATTTCATCATCAGAATAGAATTCCACTGGTATCACTCTGGTACATGCGCCACAACCTCAATCTCGACCCTCATATCATCCTCCCCCAACCGCGTCACCCCACACACGTCCAAATCGGCTCATGCCCCGGAACCCACTTGCGGAAATTCCGCACCATCGCCTCCAGCGCCTCGTTGTTGATCGGCACATGGTACGAGTTCACCCGGTATACCTGGCTCCAGCCCGCGCCGCCTGCGTTCCGTAGGTTCATGTCCACGTTCGCGAAGGCTTGGTCGATTTGTGCGTTGATTTCGCGCGGGATGGTTCCTGTGGTTGGGTCCCAGCCTCCTTTGCATTCATCAGTACTGGTAATGAGGATTGGTATGGGGGAAGGGCGGGAAGGGAGGAGGAAATACCCTGTCCGGCGCATTCGATGCGGTCGCCGACGCGGACGGCTTGGCTGTATTTGAATTTGGATTGGTTGGCTTTGCCGACGCCGTCGTAGTTGTAGTAGGTTAGGTGGGACATTTTGATATTTGTTGTATTCTGGTGTGTATAGATGGGGCTGAGAAGAGTGAGAGGCTTTTATATTGTTTTGTTGCATTGTGTTTGTAGCGGAATATGTATTCCGCTGAATATTCTGCTGCGGATGATGTCATATATGTCGAAAACATTTAGATATTGATGCAAGTTATCTAAGTCGTAATTCGTGAGTAGCGATGATCTATCTATGTACATGCAATGCTTGAGGTATTAAACGAAATCAATGAGGAACACCGCCAGTTCCGAACAGCTCCAGCTTCACCCGGCCCTCGCTGACCCCCTTGGACTTGAGAACATTCAGCATATCAGTCATGAACGTGTCGGGTCCGCAGATGTAGTACTCCGTCGTAGCATCATCCAGGAACAAATCCCGGCTGTCATCCAACTTGCTCAGATCCACACGGCCGCGGTACTGGTAATCCTCGCCCTGCTTGTCCTCTTCTGTGGGGTGGCTGGTGAAAAAGGTGGATGTGAGATTGGACAGCTTCTGCTCCAGAGAGGTGATGTGGTTCTTGAACGCACGCGCTTGGGAGTTTCTAGCGCCGTGAATGAAGCTAACCTTGCGCTCTGGGGACTCTGAGGTCAGAGTGTTGAGAATGGACGTCATGGGGGTTAGACCGACGCCGGCGGAGATGAGGACAACGGGGTTAGCGGCCTTGGCGTCAGACAGGAAAAAATCGCCGTATGGATGGGAGACCTTGATGGTGTCGCCCTCGTTGATAAACTCGTGCAGGATGTTCGATACATAGCCCGGATGCGCCTTTGCGCCGGGCTCGGCGGGTTCAGTCCAGGCTCCTTCTTCACGCTGATGCGGTAGTAATCTGACCGGGGCATGTCGCTGAGAGAGTACTGGCGCGCCTGAAAGTAGTTAAGCTCAGGGACGTGGATCTGCACAGAGATGTACTGTCCCGGCCGGAAGGCGGGCAGAGGCTTGCCGTCCACCGGCTTCAGGTAGAAGGAGGTGATTTCCGAGGATTCGGGACTTTCTGCGCGATGACAAAGTCGCGGAAGTCGGTCCAGCCTTCAGCTTGCTCGTAAAGCTGGGCTTCGCGGCCGATCATGAGGTCGGCCAATTGCCAGTAGGCGGTGGCCCAGGCGTCGAGGATCTCCGGGGTGAGGGCGTCACCGAGGACCTGGCCCATTGCTTCGAGCAGGAATTTGCCGACAATCTTGTAGTCGTCAGGCTTGATGTATAGCGAGGCGTGTTTGTGGCAGATGAGCTCGACGGCGGGTCCCAGAGCGCCCAGGTTGTCGATGTTGGAGGCATAGGCGAAGAGAGCGCCGGCCAGAGCACGAGGTTGGTGGCCGCTGACCTGGTGGGCGGTGTTGAAGACATTATTCAACTCGGGATGAGCAGTCAGCATGTTTTTGTAGAACACCGTGGTGATGGTTGTTCCATGCTCTGTAAGCACAGGCACGGTGGCCTTGATGATTTGAACTTGTTCCGGTGTTAGAGGCATGATGATGGCAATGAGTGGTTTAACAGCTGGAAACTGAATATTTGAGGACTATCAAGTGTATGGTCAACGCCCAAGAATGCAGTATTTATACACAGCGCTACTTGTTAGCCCCTGAGTCGTGCCATATGCAAATTTTTCTTTCTTTTTTTTCTTTTTTGGTTGTTTGGTTCCGCAGCCGAGTGTGATGGCGAAGATATCTCCGCGGAGGCTTTGGTGAGAGGTCAGAAACATGCAGACTCAGGGTCAGGAACGGAGGAATCAGCGTGCAGGAATAGATAAGCAAACAGACTCCACCAACGACAGTTTCACTACCAGCTATCAAAGAGCTGTCGATCCTTTTTATCAACATCATCAGGAAGATACTAGTATTCCAATTGTCGGTAGGTGAGCCTGCACGGCACTGCTCAAGTGCACGAGCATTCTCCAGACTCCAGATGGTCTACATCCATGCCACTCCGTATCCATCACCCCATACTTCAAGCTTCACCTATTTTACCTCGTTTTTAATTGGTCTACACAGTTAATTGCCGTTACTTAACAATTAAAACCCGAATAGCCTACTCCGTAACGTCAGGCCACTTGCGAGCAAGATCCCGGCGCGAAGATTTTTCGGATCGGAGACTCGGCAATTTCTCGGTCCCCCGAGTACGGCGCACAAAATATTCTGGTACGGCTGTGGAAGCCGAAGAACGCTAAGTGCCGTGGTGCTCGTCCTTTTTTCGCCCTTGTTTCCAAACCGAGCTTAGCGTCTTCAATATCCTGGGTAGCTAGGTACCAAGTGAAGCAAAGTCATGGCTATCAAACATCTTGTATGTACAAAGGTATACTAACCTAGCGTCTAGGTAGCCATAAAATACATGAGAAATCAAGGCCTTGACGTGTCAAGACGGTAACTCAATCGGAGCGGGCCGCTGACTTCCTGAGCTTTGTTGTCCATAGTCGTGATTCATTGCTTCTGGGATTGAATCGGGACAAGGTAGCTCATGATCCTCGAGATGTGTTGCTTCTGGAAGCTCAGCCTTCCCTGCCCATGTCTCGCGCATACGTCCGCCTGGATGAGATGATGCTCTTTTCCTCAGTAATATAGTTCCAACAATAAGCGTCAACCCTATAATTAAAAGACCCCCAATCACCCCGCCGACGATAGCGCCTACTGGGGTCGTTGACTTTGGCGTCTCTACCACGAGTGCGGGCGCTGTCGATGTCGATGTCGATGTCGGCGTTATAGAGTCTAGAAGACTGCTCTGCGTCGTTGACGCTGGGATAGAGGCTGTGGTTTTGGGGGCTGTCGTCGAGCTTGAAACTTGCTTCGACGTAACATTGAAATAGTGACAGCTGAAACGGGTCGAGCCTGGGTCGCTACATAACCCATATATGTAGTAGACGCCGGGGCCTGCAAGTCCCATGAAAGTGACATTCCATGCTATGGAGCCATTGTTGGGAGTGTCTGCTGCATGTCAACAGCTGGCCGAGATCCGGGTGAGGGGCAGAACAGTCTCACCTGCGATTTGACTACACAGCGCATCACGCTGAAACTGACAGTCGCCACCATTGAAATCCTTCATCAACCAAAACTGAATGGACTGGTCGCAGCCGCTTTTCCACTTGATGTCGATTGATTGCCCGACAGTAAATGCTAGATTCGATATGTACTCGCCGGTGTAACCATTCTGTGGGGGAAAGATGAATACATCCGCAGCGGCAGAACTTTGCCGTGGGCACGCAGTTAATATGAAAACCAGGTGAAAGACAAGGAGTCTTGTGATGCGGTAGATTCTCCCACTATGCTGCTTGAATGGCATGATTGTCAGCCATGAATAACAAGTTGGTATGTGATGGCAGATCGAGAAGGGGAAGAGAATCGAGACTATAAATAGGTCTTACGTGAACCTGGGACTTGCTGTCAATCGCCTAGACTGGCGGCCAGAAAGTCTGAAACCGCGAGGCGCATATTTACTGGGTTTCATTGCCCCAGGAATGCAGTTTCAGGGGCGAACTCCCATACGCAAGATTCTCGAGTGATTGGACATGGGATAGTGCAAGAACGGACTAAGCATACCCTTATGTCTTTTAGTTCTAGCCGAACATCACTATGGCGACCAGTGCCCAATTAACAGCTACCCCAGTTGGGACTGTACTGTTCCCAAATGATGTTGGCCTGGCCGCGGGCTATTGTTGGACGGTTAAACCGCTTCAATGACGCGGGCAACAGCAGATAACTGCTGTATTGCAGCACATGGTCTAGAGCTTGTGCGATACCCAAATATGTTGCTGGTATGCGTACCATTAAGGGCTCGAAATCAGTAGTCCACGTGTGTTCATCAAAGAGAACAAGAGCCAAGTAACAGCAGGGCAGGTATGAGTCTAGATGGAGTGAATTGTTGTCTCCTAATCATTTTCCCCAGTTCATCAGCAAAAGTAATATCTCCTCGTGATGAGTCTTGGGGGTGGAGTTGAGTTCTGCGTACCTTTCAGGACACTGCCGGCACGACAGCCACTCTGCGGAGTAAATGCAGGCTGGTCACACTGCAGCCTTGGCCCATGTCCCTAAGTGTCGCTGTGTCACACTGCTGAATTATTTTGCCTTGCTGGTGAGAATTGCAAGAATTTCAACGGCACGAGTCTCTTCCAGCAATTCTATGAGCGGAGTTCGCAGGACCTGATTAGCAGATCGGCATGGCAGCCTTTGTGGTTATTGTAGTTAAAACCCTGTAGACCACAAGTCAAGCATTGAGCAACAGCCGGCAATCTGACAAGTTCGTGGAAAGACCCACTCAGGCTGACAGCTCAGAAATGATCTCCATACCAGCCGATATCAGGCCGCCATTGGCTACCTTACAGCACTGTGTTGGCATCTCTGTAGTTGACGATCCCCCAACCCTGAATTAAACCAGCGTTTGAGCGCGGCAGTTTTAGAAAGTGTTTCAGAGACAGAGCAGTAGAAGCCATAGAAATTCTGAGATGGAGCCGAAAATGATGCGTCTAGATATAAAAGTGTATCCTAGAGTCGAACTCCAGGTCCCTTATTTCCCCAGCCCCGGACCGGAGCACGCTTTCCCCTCCTTTTCCCCTTCTACTTGGTTCGGTGTCGAATTCATGACATTGCAGTATACAGAAGATTAATTAGTTTAGGTCAAATAATTCCTGCAATTTGAAATGTTAAATACCAAAAGTCCACAAGGGTAGAAATAGTCCGCCGTACGCGAGACTACATACCTCGATTAAGCATAATGTGCACAATTACTCAGCCTCCTTTATGTTGTTTATGCTGATGCGTGGCACGAAAGTGAGAGCCATGACTTGCAACAAAAAAATACTATCAAAATCATGGGAATGAAATGCAAAGCAAATCATCCAGAGAGTAAATAACGATATTGACTGGCAGTGCGCGATTTCAAAACTGTCAACTGCGTGAATACTATCCGCTCTCGCGTTGACCACTATCAAGTGCGGACTGGTGTTCGGGGATTGATTGAGCCAACCGATGTCTGGGCCTTGATCGACCATTGTAACTTTACTGACTCTTCTGGATCCTCGTTCGTGTCCATTGACCATCGTAGCTAGTAATATCTCATGATGGTACCCCAGATGGCCGGAAATGGCGACTTTCCCGACGTGACCCAAAGATTGGAGAGTAAGTGTAAGAACACCAAGGACAAGCTCAACGGACACGCCGAAAATAGTCATGATATTGTACATGTCGTAATCGACATAACAAAGTTAGGACATGTCCTGTCGCGGATATAAGAAATGGGAGTCGCTACTACATTAACGTCGATCGCACGGTCAGAAACCAGTATTCTGTTCTTCGACCATATCAAGCAAGATACAATGCGGTTCGGTAAACGTAATGGAGAGGACCGGCGTGTCGTCAGGCGCAGTCAGACTCAGCTTCCCATGCTGGGTCTGGCGGACAGTGCTCGAAATAATCTGATTGCTGTGGTGGGAGAGTTTGTCGGCACGTTCCTCTTCCTGTTCTTCTCTTTTGCAGGAACTCAGGTTTCCAATACACCCAAGCCGGTAGCCGGTGCCCCTCCCAACACCTCCAACCTTCTTTATTCCGCCTTATCGTTCGGCTTCTCCTTGACAGTCAACATCTGGGCCTTTTATCGGGTAACGGGAGGTCTCTTCAACCCTGTAGTAAGTCTCCAACCATACAACATTTGCAGCTCAATCTGACAGAACAGGTCTCCTTGGCACTATGCCTGGTCGGAGGCATGCCGCCCCTTCGGGGCGTCTTCGTCTTCGCTGCACAGCTTGTAGGCGGCATCGCAGCCGCAGGCGTCGTCAGCGCTCTGTTCCCGGGTGACCTCAACGTCGGAACTCGACTGGGTGGAGGGGCCTCCATCTCTCAGGGCCTCTTCATCGAGATGTTCCTCACAGCGCAACTGGTGTTCGTCATCATCATGCTGGCCGTCGTGAAGCACAAATCCACTTTCCTCGCGCCGGTCGGTATCGGTCTGACGTTCTTTGTCACGGAAATGATCGGTATGGGGTCCCCCAATCCACCTCGATTGCTGAGGGTAATGAAAACAGGTGACTACTATACCGGCGGCTCGCTGAATCCCGCGCGCTCGCTCGGCCCAGACGTGATCAACCGAAGCTTCCCTGGTTATCACTGGATCTATTGGGTCGGACCACTGCTCGGGTCTCTGCTGGCCTGCGGATTCTACGCCTTCCTCAGGATGTTCAAATACGAATCCGTCAACCCGGGGCAGGACTTTGACGAGTGGGAGGCTAGGCGCGGACATGGATCGTTCGACGAATATGGCCGGGACTCAACAGCCTTTTCGGATTCGACCGCTGGAGTGCGGAACAATTCGCCTCGAGATGTAAATCGACCTAGTGGACCGGTCAGCGGAGCGGAACAGGTCTAGTTGCTGGGATAGGTTGACGATAAATCACATATTGATGCGGGGTAGTTCAGCTGGACAGATGAAGGTAGCAGTAAGAGAAATGTATTCAGTGTGAAGTGGTTGGATCAGTCAGCCATCAGCATTGAAAAGCGACAATAGAGCACGCTAAGCGAACTCCCTCGTGTCTAGGAATGGCGAAATCCCTCTTTACCTAATCTAGCAGGTTAGACGGTCACTACAATCTCATTTTTGAGGAAAGCATTCGATTCTGAACAGGCCTGATTCGCAGAGAAATGTCCAATTAGAAGGCATACAGTAGAGCTAGATTGATATTGCGATCCTATCGCCAAATTCGTACTGCAAATGAGTTGTTTTCAGGGGTGCAGTATATCCTTAGGTGTTGCTGATCACTTGCCTAATGATGGCGTGGAAGATAATGCTCACTATTCATCTTCTGGAAGCATCAACATTCAGTGATCTATTCTTACTATCACCTATCTACCATCCTAGCCATATTCACCACACCTATCTTGACTCGACTCTCGAGTACGGACTACGGACACCATAAGCCGGCGCTCTCGGCACACGCCCGCAATCCAGAATCCACACCAGCTCCAGCGCTCCACAACGCACAAACCTTGGAGAACAGCCGTCGCTGCACCACGAGCATCCTCATTTCATTGCTTTCATATCAATACTGCTCTATTTTCTATTTCTATGGAAGGAATGACATCTCGGAGATGAGATCGATTCAGGTAATCGCAGGATTGCACCCTGGCTAACAACGGCTACTACGGAACCTAGAAGGATTCGGTGCAGCCTGCGACATGCAGGTCTAGCGTCCTAGGCAACTCAATTGATCAATAAAATGAGGTGAACCAACACCGTGTCTCTCCACAGTGTCACCTTGAAATGATTGCATTTGCACAATACTCCGTACTCCTCTTCAGCCCAAGTGCACGCCCTCTGATGTTCCGACGACGCCGGCCAGACCATGAGCGTGCCCATGGGACTTGGCGCATGCGTCCAACCAGATGCCACCCGACCGTGAGTGATGAACTCGAGATCTTCCGGGTCCATGGAACCACGATACTGGAGGGGTGGCGGCGATACAGAGTAACATCGAATCCACAGTAAAATAGTAATTCAGTATCCATAGAACGTAGAGGAGTCTGTGGACTACCGATTCTAGGGGCGGGCAAGTGCGGTATCCGCAAATGCAGGGCTGCATCATCCAAGGCCAGCCAGAAGCTGTGGAGGCCGTAATCCAGACCCCATAATCTCGTCTGAGTGGTCCGCGACGATCATCTCCCGCTTTCCAGGCTGCCGATCCATTCCCCATCGGAATTTCCAGGATAACCCCCTTTCGTGATGGTCTTCCACCATCCAATGCCACATCCAATGTCCTTGCAGACAGTCGTCTTTAGACTTTGCAAGTGCTCACACCATGTCCCTCTAGGCTATCTAGTCCGCGGTACCTGTTTCCTGGTCCGACCCGATGCAGATAACTCCATTGTCCCCGCTGGGGTGAAGCTCTTCCCAATTTCTTCAGTCTTCGTCCTCACCATTCTTGGTGATCATCTATTCTGCAGTCATTTGAGACTGCTTGAGACGCCAAGATGCTCCTGAAGATGCGCTCGCAGACCACCGTTGATGCCACCGGCGCTGACCATGGCGTCGGTGGCCATCGGGAGGTGGTCGACGACACGCAGCTCCTGGGTAAGTCGCATCTTTAACGTTTGGCGTCCGACGCGCAGCATACTGATTGCAACAGCGGAATTGGGCTACAAGCAGGAGCTGCGACGCCAGTACTCGACGCTAGAAATCTTTGCGGTCGCGTTCAGTATCATGGGTTTGGTTCCGTCGATCGCGTCCACGCTTGCGTTTTCACTTCCAGCTGGGCCGGTTGGGATGGTTTGGGTTTGTTATTCTCTTTCTTTTTTTGGGGGGGCGCGACTAATAGTGGTAGGGATGGTTTACCGCCAGTATCCTCATCTTCTTTGTCGGTCTTGCGATGGTATGTCCCTGATGTCGCCGACTACGATTGCGCACCATATTAATGACAACAGGCGGATATGGCGTCCGCGATGCCTACGGCCGGCGGTCTATACTGGTGGACACATTATTTCGCGGGCGAGAAGTACAAGAACCCGTTGAGCTTCTTGGTCGGATACAGCAACACCCTTGGGTTGATCGGGGGGATGTGCTCGGTTGACTGTATGTCCATCTCCCGCTGCATTGCATGACGAAGTCGTCGCTGACGGTACAGACACACTCTCGCTGCTGCTGCTCGCGTGCATCTCGATCTCGCGCGACGGAGAGTGGTCCGCGTCCAACGGGACCATCTACGGGGTTTATGTCGGCGTGATTCTCGTGCACGCCGTGTGCGCCGTATTCGCCGGGCCGATCATGAACAAGATCCAAACGTTTTCGATCTTCGTCAACGTGGCAATGATAATCGCAACGGTGGTCGCGCTTCCCGTCGGCAAGATCAGCCGCGGCCAGTCGCTCAACCCGGGCTCGTATGTCTTCGGGGACGTGGAGAACCTGACAACGTGGCCGACAGGCTGGGCTTTTGTCCTGTCGTTCCTGGCCCCGATCTGGTCGATTGGGTTCTTCGACTCATGCGTGCATATGAGTGAGGAGGCGCTGCATGCGGCCAAGGCGGTGCCGCTGGGGATCATCTGGTCCTCGGGTTGCGCCACGTTCCTGGGGTTTCTGGTTCTGTCCGTGATTGCCGCGACGATGGACCCGGATGTGAGTAAGACGATGGGCTCGACGTTTGGGCAGCCCATGGCGCAGGTAAGCCAATTCCATCTTTCCCCCGTGTTTTAAACTCTCGGGCGCGACTGACGGCCTAGATCTATTATGACGCTCTCGGCAAGAAGGGAGCTCTCGGGTTCACGGGTGTGCTGATTGTCATTCAATTCCTGGTCGGACTGAGTCTGGTAAGCCCCCTTGCATCTTTGCAAAGTAAAACAGGAGAATAACTGATGAAACAGATCGTCGCTGCGTCCCGGCAAGCATGGGCGTTCTCCCGCGACGGCGCCCTCCCCTTCTCCGGCTACTTCCGCCACATCAGCAAACGCATCCGCTACCAGCCGGTCCGGGCAATTGTCGGGTTCGTCGCCGTGTGCATCGTTGCCGGCCTGCTCTGCCTGATCAACTCGATCGCAGCCAACGCGCTGTTCTCCCTGTTCGTCGCCAGCAACTACGTCGCCTGGGGAACCCCGATTCTCTGCCGCGTGATCTGGAGCAAGAAGCACTTCCGGCCGGGCGAGTTCTACACGGGTAAACTGAGCCGGCCGATTGCCATTGTGGCGATCCTGTGGTTGATCTTTGGGCTGATGCTGTCGATGTTCCCGAGCGGAGGGCCGAATCCAACCCGTAAGTCTTGTCTTTGCGGTCTACGGACTATGCTAACGGCTACACTACAGCGTCAACGATGAACTACACCATTGTGATAAACGGATTCGTGTGGGTTGCGTGCATGACGTATTATTTCCTGTTCGCGCGGAAATGGTACACAGGCCCGAAGATGACTATCGATTCGTCGGAGGTGGTAACCCAGCCCGAAAAGGATGCAACCAACTGAATTGTATTCATAAATGCAGATTGTCATTGATTGTCATATTCAGTACATGTACAGGTCGGTATATAGACATAACCATAACGTGACCGCGATCAGCGAATCATCTCCACCTCAATCCTCTCTTCAATTATTTAATGCATACCCCTACAGGGCAGCCATAACACCCAACACACCAGCAACACCCACAATTCCCGCCCAAGGAACGGGGTAGCCTGCGCACCCGCCCCCTGAGACGTCGAGGTAGACGTGCCCGCCGCACCGGCACTAGTACTTGTGCGGGTCAAAGTAGTCGTCAACGACCCACTCGTGGAGGTCGTAGTATCCGTCAGGGTAGCAGTAGTCGAGCTGGTAGTCTCACTAACCGACCTCGTCTCCGTCGCCGTCGGCGTCCCATTCGTTCCGGTCAAGGTGGTCAATTGCTCGCTCCAAGCAGACGAAGCCCTGCTGGCCGCATCGGAAGCGCGGGACTGCGCGTCGGACGCGACGGAGGTCGCCCAGGACTGGACGTTTGAGGCTGCGGAGCCGGCGTCGGAGGTGAGGGAGGAGACGGCTGCCGCGCCGCCGGTTTCGAAGGCGGAGGCGATGGAGGTTGCGTCGGCAGCGACGTTGGAGGCGACGTTTTGGCCGTCGGAGGCGACGTTGTTGGCTGCGGAGACTAGGGAATCGATTGCATTTCCATTGTTGTTGTTATCCTGGGCGTAGGCGGAGGTTGCCAGGAGGAGGGCTGTGAGGTGGAGGAGTTGCATTTTTGCTTTCTCGTTTCTTGGTTGTTTGGTTTTTGTTTAGGTGTGGTTAAATGTATAAGTTATGAGTTATGGGTTATATGAGATGATTGATGAAAGCAGAGAGAGAGAGACTGGAGATTGATCTCTTTATATGTTGTTACACTGCCAACACACCATAAATAGATCCAGGTACTCCGTACTGCCCCCCCGGGTCAACGTCAGCTCCACAAGGCGCAGTTGCAGTGACTGTGTGGCAATACATCACTTACAGTTACAGGTACTGCAGTCTGCAACAATCAATTCGATTCTATCCACAGTGGCCAGTAAAACATGGAATGACGACGTCCACGGGTCGATCGGATGAGGTCGTGCCAATCACAAATATCACATCATCATCGGCCCACTCAGTCCACTGTGTCAGGGTCAGTTTCTTTTCCTATTGATGTTGATGTTGGTGATGATGTACTACAGTGATTTCTGCAATTGCATAGTAGCAAGGTTGAATACATCATAATTAATCTATCCGGCTACTACGACTAGTGTCTTGTCTCCCAGTTTTCCTACCATAGGATCCGATGGGCGACGGCGCGGCAGACGAAAAGGCTTCGACTACTGACTCGTAAAGTAATTTCCAGAACAAAGACCCAAGCCACGGATCCACTTGCGTATGCTCTGTTTAACCAGGCGCGGAATAGTGCTATGGGGGCGCGCAGTGAATAAGCAATGTGAATGGTTCTGGGAACAGCTGATCCATAGATCGGCGGCTTAGTGAGACTGTCCAGGTTTGTGCCATGTCAGGCAAAGCGCAAGCCCTGTTTGTGTAATTGTGTTACTTGAATGATATTGTGCTGCCTGGTGCCAAGACGATGACGTATGCTGGGTTGTGGTGCATTGCATATTGCCAATTATACAAGTCGTTAAGTTGACCAGTTACGAGTCGATGATGATGGTGGTAACTGTAGTAACTCGGTTTCTCTCGTCGACAGAGGAGACAGCCGAGGTGTGGCAATGCCGCATGTGGCGGTGTGTTCGATTCGTGCCATGGCTCAGGTGAAGTAATATTTACTACTTTTGATAATTATGTACAAGAACGGGTGGTGGTCTAAGCAAACTGCCGGTATGCTTGAATGATGGCCTCCCATCCTCCTGGGTGATTATACTCGGTCGGATTCGACTGTCCATCCAACACCATCACGTTCGTCTTGCGCGTGTTGATCGAGTACCACACCAGGTTCTCCGGGTTGTTGCTCACCCGCATCATGTTGGTCTGGCAGTTTCCACTGCACTGGGTCCCGTAATCTCCGTACCACTCGCCGTCGAAGAAGGCCCACGCCGCGGAATTATACAGCAGCACATCCTTACCGCCGTCGACGTTGGTCGCCAACGCCGTTCGGCACTTCTGGTCGCCGCCGGCACACCAGGAGAAGTCCGGATCACCAACCGCAGAGTCCGCGGTCCAGGGCGCAGGCGCCGTCTGAGTCGCGCCGCTGCCCTGCATATACGGACTTTCGGTCTGGAGTAGACCTGCGTAGACATTCTGCGCGTTATGGAAATTGTAGTTGTATAGCCAATGGTGCTCGGAGCCAGTACCCGTCAGCCATGTCCCTTTGGTCGACTCGACCAGCACGCCGCGACCTGTCGAGATGACAGTGTACCCCGACCCGCCGTCCAGGTTGTGGTCCGCTGTCCAACCCCAAAAGTTCTCGATGTAAGCCGACGAGCTCTTGGTCAGGTGCATCACCATGTAGGCCGCCATGCACTGGGAGGTGTCCTGGTTCGTGCAGCTGGTCGAGATGCTTGTCTCGGCTGTGCCACCCACAGTCACAATTGTGTTCCACAAGCCCACGTCGCCCGGTGCGCTGCCGGCCATGTTGACTTCGAGGATCTTGGCTCCCGGGAGGACCTCAGAAACACTGAACCGCATGTCTTGGATTTCTGCGACGCCCACGTCGCCCGGGTTGCCAATCCGGACAACAGCCTTGGGATTGCGGGCATCCTTGAAGGCGTTGCCCGCGCCGGAAATCACTGACCACGCCTCTCCAACGATCCGAGAGCCGGGCGGAATGACCAGCGTGTCCTTGACTATGTACACACCGTATGGGAAGTAGCTGATCTTACAGTTGGCCGCGTTATCGGCCAGAATGGCGTTGAGGGAAGCAGAGTCGTCGGTGTATCCGTCACCTTTGACGGTGTGGCCTGCGACGGCCTTGACATTGACGATCTGGTCACTAGCGTACTCGGCATACGTAGGCTGGGCTTTCGTAAAGAACTTGCCTCCAGACAGCAGCACGTTCGGACGGCTGGTGCTGAAGCTGGTTCCCGTTTCGTATTGGCCTGGAGTGACGTTCCCCCAGACCCACGTGTCGACATGGGAGGTGCTGGCCAGTTTGACGTTGCCGTTGCTGTCTTGGGCGATGGGGTTTCCATTGTCGTGAGTCAAATTCTCGATCAGAATCTGGCTGTTGCGGTTCCCACCATCGTTCGATGAGTCGTGGAACTTGATCGTAGTCCCAGAGTTGACAGAGGTCGAGTCCAGCAGCACCAAGCTTCCCAGTCCGTTGCTGGTCATGTCAATGCCCACTCCACAGTTCTCGAACGTAGCACCTTGAAGCAGAGCAGTGTGTCCACCGGACGCTTTGAAGGCGGTTGTACAGCCGTTGAAGTGGATGCTCTTGAAGTTGACCTGCTGGTTGGAGTTGTCGATGCCAACGACACCTCCATTGATTTGCTATAATCATCAGCTGACGACCACCACAGCACAGAAGACAGACAGAGACCAACCACATCGGTTATGGCGATAGTAGACCCCGCCTGGACGTGAATACCGATATGACCGGTGGAATAATTCGGCATGTTGATTTTGACGTTTGTTAGACCAGCACCCTGCGCCACACCCCACTGCAGAGCCGTAATCCGAGTATCAGGTCGGAGAGCGGTGGTGTCCAACACCACGTTCTTCATGAGCGTCATGAAGCTGGTCTCCGGGGCCCATTCTTGGAATCATATCCGTTGACGAGCGTATTGCCGTTGAACCCGGCCGCCGCCTTGATCACAGGCGGGTTAATTGGGTCTCCAACAATGAGCGTGCCAACTCGGAGGTTGAGTGTGCTCCCCAGCTGGTATGTACCACTCGGAAGATAGACCTGAGCCGGATACCTAGTGACACCGGAGCTTTCACGGCTTCCACCGCTACCATTATCATTAATGGCTTTTTGCAAACTGCCAGTCTGGTCGCCGGAGCCGTCATTTTTTGCACCATAATCCAGAACATTACGCCAGACGGGGTAGTTGTAGTTCCCTCCTGCATTAGGGGCATATCCGCGCGGATTTCCGGTGTGGTCCTGTTCAACGAGCCAGTATGTAGATGGAGAGCTCTTGACGGGACCGCTGCAGGAAGGAGCACGAGCCCCGACGGCTGCGGATGAGGCCATAACCAGCGTGCTGGCCAGCGCGGTCAACGAGAGGAGACCACGCATGCTAGCAGATGATGAGTAAATGTAAGCAGAGACAAATGAATGAGGAATGACAGTCTTACCGTCAATTCGAGAGGACGACACATCGCTGATATATAACCTTCCATCTCTAGCCCCATCATCTGCCAGCACTACGATTAAAAGGGTGCTGATTCATGAAGCGAGTAGATTCGCTGCCACGCAGCTGAACAATCATTATGCAGAAAGACCGGGCTTAAATGACAGGGTTACACCACATGTGCGACAAGAAAGAGGGAATTTCCTAAGAGAGAAAGGTGCGCGTCAGTACTAGGACGATGTGGTGAGACGGCGCCGAATTGGCCCCGATTTGAAACGCTGCCGTAAAGGTTTACAAATGATAGTGCGACCCGATCAGGGAAGTGGTGTCCGTCGATAGCAGTCATTCCGGCCAGCAGACCGCAGAGGAGTCGCCCTGCATCAGATCGATTAATGAGGAGACTCAGCTGGATCCTTTGGAGATTGCCAGACTTGACGAATGATGAGGAATTGAACCTGAATCCTAAATGCGATCAGGGGCTTACAACGTAATACCACTAAGAGCTCACTTTCTGAGGACTTGGCTTGTAAATAATGTAAATACATTTCCGTCCGGACCAACGTATATCCGTTTGGGGCTGATTTCTCCGTGTCTCGATTGGGAAAGCTGAGAGACGAGATCAGACATCAGAGTGCCCGATTCTGTGCTTGATTCTTAGCTTGCAGACTTGTCCTCCGGAGATGTGTGAATTCCTCTATATGACTTGTTTGATGGAATTATGTCTTGTCGATGGATAGGACTGACTATAACTCATGCCGTTCCACAATATCTGAGGAGCTGGTCAATAAAGTCCTCGAGTTGTCCTCGAATACTGCAGCGAGGACTATGCGTCTTGGGCATATGCAGGAAAGACCTGATACGACTGTAGTTTGCCTACCTAATGATGCCATGCCCAACGGAGACCAATCTGCCCCTCTTCCCTAGGCATAATTTCTGAACACCAGCTCAACGAACCCCCCACCCACAAGACGCTAAGTTACGTCCATCTCTACCTCGCTACTCCGTATCAACTAGCGCATCATCGGAAAAGGCACCCGAACTCGTACCCCTCTTGTCCACTGTTGAGTGCTGCTGTAGCTGCACCAGGTCCTCTCCAGTTCGAGTCAGCTCAACCAAACCCCCCGCAGTTCAAGCCACAGGCGAATGACCACTCGTAAGTATGATCCCCTGTGCCGAGCTTTGTGCCTTAGCTTTCCCGATCAAGTAGATGATGATAATGTAGAGCCAGTCATCCTATGATTAGACTCGATGCTAAAAGAACCTGCGGAGTTTAGATTGGTTTGTATATGCATGAATGTCCGGTGCGACATCAGTGGAATTGGCTAGCAGATCTATCTTGATCTAACCTATGACTTGTCAACTTACAGTAGGTTCAAGGGTCTGCTGGCCCCCTGATCCACGAAGCTACCTTACGTTGTTTCAGGCAGTCGCTGAAAATTACTCCTATAGGGTATCTGCAGACCCTCAAGCGCCACCTTGAATCCAATGGTTGTAGTCAGGAGGAGATTACCACGATTCAGAAGTACATCCAGGCTTATTGGAAGAATAAGATTCTACCTAACTTCCAAGAGTTTGAGTTCTTCACTGGCAGATCTCGTGACGAGGAGGGAATGTACAGCGCCCTATCTTCCCAGTCTCTCGTTATATCCACTTTCAGTCCACTGACAGGTCTGGCGAAGTAGGATCATCCTTCTCAACTGCTGCGAGGATGACACTCCATATTGGACCTACTGGGAGCACGGTCTGGAGGAGGAAGAAATATAGCCCGTGAAGGGACTCGGATAATTAATTCACACCCGTATCGGCGAGGTAGTGAGTATAGTTATTGATGGAGCATCAGTTGCACTTTCTATCCATCTCTTCAAGCGTATTGAAGCAGTCCGCCATACAGCCAACCTTGCGACCTCAAAGGTACAGTCTCGTCATTAGTATACCGTGGACTGCAATCTACCACCATATCGTTGTATTCAACTTTGAAGTCCTTGCGCCAATGAAATACAGTACAATTGATCTTACGCACACGTGAAGTTCTCAGGAAAATATCATTCTATCAAGTGGAATAAAATGAAATGTCTGCTCACTTGGGTGCAGTATCCATGTCCTACCATGGTTCGTTCGCGGGCTCGGGAGTTTCCTCCGTTGCTGTGGCTGACATCAACAACGTCAACAGACTCCCAAACTCAAGAATCTCTTGCTCTTCAGGTCATGTCATCATTCAATGCAACCGCCTAGGCCGACAACAGGTCAAAAGACAATCTCTAACAAAAGCCATGATGATTCCTACCTGTTGTCGCGAAGGTCTACTCCTGCGGAACATCGATCACGACTGTCCCTTTATTTCTGACAGGTGATGAGACCCGTTGGTTCATGACGTCGAGCAGACGAAGCTGATGTGGCCAACACCATGCATACGTGAAGTCACAGGTGACTAGATACTATTAGCCACATCCATGGCGAACCATGTCATCTTTCCTCCTCGCGCTGGCCCTTGTGGAATCTTCTCTGCGTGCCTCTGCCACTCTGACAACGATACACGATCAAGCTGCATTGAAAATTGCTTCTAGGTGTTTCTACTTCCTGCCACGGTACGTACATAGTCAAGTCTCTGCGACGCTTCTAACAAGAGCTAGACGTAACCGATCAGGACCCTGTCACCTGAGACTGCCATATGTCTGACTCCAGACAAGAGAGTGAGAGTTCCACCGTAACCTATCACAGTCAACCTGAATCAGAAAATACCGAAGATTCTGGCAGTCCTGAAAGCCCGGGATCACCGCCGGCTCCGCCAGGGAGTCCACGGTCGCCTGAACAGCAGAGCCAGGATGGAGACAACCAGGAAATTCCCAATATAGAGACGACCCCGATAAACGGAGAAAACGGAGAAGCATCACAGAAGAGACAACGGGTTCGCTTCCGATCCGCTCTCAGCGTCGACTACCCAGAGCCCGCTGGTCCCGAAAGTAGCGAAGATGAAAGCTCTATCCAGGAAAAGCAGAAGGGCGAGCGTGACCAAGCGCAATTCCAGGGCCAGCCACATCTCATGTCCACGCCCTACATCCATGGATCCCTAGACATCACAGAAGCCCCTCTTCAGGAGCGGACAACGAGAGAAGACCTTCAGCAAGCGGAAAAGACCCCTGTGGAGAAGAAACCGGCAGGCATTGGCGCAGCAGCAGCCGTCGGCGATGTCAGTCGCACCGCCAAGGACAAACTGCGATGGCTGCGGGACACGGTGCACGGCAAGTTGTCCAAGTGGAGTGATCGGCTGGGACGCCCTGAACGAGGTGGGGATGACCTAGGACCCGGTGTCTACCACAACGAATGGGCATCAGGCGGCAACGCGCCTCTGGGAGATTTGACTGACAACAAGCACAAGACTCACGAGGAAAAGAAGACACATCAAGCCACATCCACGTCTGAAGCGCACCGCCTGGTGCGTGAGCTGACGCAGGACCAGTCCGGTAATCGGCGCAGTACGCGCGGGAAGCCGTACCCACACACCGACACGCAGGGCGGACAGGGCCCCCAGGGGGAAAATGCAATTGATTCGGGGCTGCGGTATCGAGCCGGTGGTGGAGGTGTTCTGGCGCAGCTGATGAAGCTGAATGGTGGCATGCAACAAGGAGGGCAAGGTGGACAAGCTGGACAAGCTGGACAAGGTGGGCAACGGTCACCCTCTGACGCCGGGACCTCAGGGACCACAACTCCGAGGAAGGAAAAGTTAAAGTGGTACAAGAATAAACAACATACCCGGTCCACGTCGACCCTGGTTGGCGCTTCGGGTAGCATGAGTGGCGCGAGCACCCCTGTATCCAGCGAGGTCCTCTCCGCCGCATCGAAGCGCCTTGGCGGACAGCAGCCCCAACAGGGAGGAAGGATGCGACTGGAGGACGAAATCCAGGTGACGGTGCAAATCGCGGAGATCATTGCGCGCCAGCGGTACATTATGCAGCTGTGCAAAGCGCTGATGTCGTTCGGCGCCCCGACGCATCGGCTCGAAGAGTACATGCAGATGACGGCCAAGGTTCTCGAGATGGACAGTCAGTTTCTGTATTTCCCCGGGTGCATGATCATGTCATTTGACGATCCATCGACGAGGACGACCGAGGTGAAGCTGGTTCGGGTGGCTCAGGGTATTAACCTGCAGAAGTTGGCCAACACTCATCGAATTTACAAGAATGTAGTGCATGACGTGATCGGGGTGGAAGAGGCCATCCAGGAACTCGAGGAGATTGAAAAGAAGCCGCCGCGGTTCAACAAGTGGATCGTCGTGTTGGTGTACGGATTGGCGTCTGCGACTGTAGGACCGTTTGCGTTCAATGCTCGGCCGATTGACATGCCCATCATCTTCTTCAACGGCTGTCTCCTCGGCCTTATGCAGCAAGTCCTCGCCCCTCGCTCGGCGCTCTACTCCAACGTCTTTGAGGTGACGGCCGCGGTGCTCACCTCATTTCTGGCGCGCGCCTTTGGCAGCATTCCAAAGGCCGTCGTCGACGGCAAGCGTCAGTTCCTCTTTTGTTTCTCCGCCATCGCCCAATCCTCCATTGCGCTTATCCTGCCCGGCTTCCTCGTGCTATGCAGCAGTCTCGAGCTACAGTCTCACCAGATCATCGCGGGGTCGATCCGAATAGTCTACGCGATTATTTACTCCCTCTTCCTCGGATACGGCATCACAGTAGGGACAACCATCTACGGGCTGATGGACGGGTCAGCGGTATCCGACATCCAGTGTCCCAAAGCCGGGGCCTTCAAAAATCCATACGTGCAGCGGTTCCCCTTCGTAGCCCTCATGACCGTCTGGCTGCTCATCATCAACCAGGGCAAGTGGAAACAGTTACCCGTGATGAGCACCATCGCCATGTCCGGGTACATCACCAACTACTTCAGCACGAAGAAGCTGGGCTCGAACTCGCAGGTCGCCAACACCGTCGGCGCCTTCACCATCGGCATCATGGGCAACCTATACAGTCGCCTATGGCACGGACACGCCGCTACTGCCATCCTCCCCGCTATCTTTGTGCTGGTCCC